ATACCGGAGAATGTTGAGAATCCCATGGACTGCCAGGGTCACCAATGAGGAAGTGCTGAGAAGAATGGGTCGAGTCAAAAAATTGTTGAGAACGATAAAAGTACGCAAGACTGCATACCTTGGACACATACTAAGAAATAATAAATATAGTCTTCTGCAGGTCATCATGCAAGGTAGAGTCGATGGCAAAAAGGGAATAGGTAGAAAGAGGAAGTCATGGCTGCGAAATATTCGAGACTGGACAAACATGACTGTAGACGAATTATTCCATGTTGCAAAAGACAGAGAAGCTTTTAAAAATGTGGTTGCCAACTTCCGTTAATGGGGACGGCATAGGAAGAAGAAGAATTCATCATTAAAAATTTTCTCATATTTTCTTAATAAAAGATTTAATTGTGATTTAAAATCAATTTCATTTATACTTATTTCATTAATCTGGGTACACTTGCTAAAACTTAATTCATGATTTCCAATATAGATTTTTGTTCCCTTTATGGATAAATTAAATTTTATAAAGATATCTCTGCCTAACAGTGCCTTAGTAGCTCCCTCCACTACTATCAATGAAACATTTTCAACTCTATCGCCTATTATGCTTTGTACCTCAATTTTACCTTTTGGTATTACTACTGGTCCATCATAATACTTTAATTTAATCAAACTTGGTTTTAACTCTACCATTGAAAAACATTGATTATACATACTAAAAGGAATGCAAGAAACACCAGCTCCTGTATCTATTTCCATAACAATAGGTTGCTGATTTATTAAAACGGTTATTGACATTGGTTTAATATAAGCCTCAACATTACAAACATCCATCTGCAGCATCTCCACCATACCATCTACCTCTGAGGTATTGTCCTCAGCATCTACATTATTATAAGTTTCTATAAAATTGTTTCTCCTAACTTTACATGCTGCTGCAATATGCCCTACTTTTTTACATTTATTACAAATAAATTTTCTAAACTTACACATTTTAAAATCATGATCTGGTTTATTACAATAAAAACACAAAGTATCTATTTTATTACTTACAGATATCCTACCAGTCTTAGTTTGATTTGATGAACTTGGTTGTCTTACTTGAATTTCCTTACCACCTTCCCTTCTGGCTTCTTAATAATTTATGTCCACTCCTCTGGATTCCCTCAAAGATGCTTCTTTTGCCAGTGCTATTTCTAAAAGATCTTTTAAAGCCCTATGGGGATCTTCTTCACATAAGCGGTCTAATATTGGACCTGGTTTTATTCCAACTACGAATTTCTCTTGCACTCTATACATTAACTTATCACCAAATTTACATTGCGTTGCCATATTTTTAACTTTAATATACCATTCATTTATAGTTTCGTCTTCCTGTCTCAATGTTTCAAATTTTATTCTTCTTCTATAAATCGCAATGCGAGGTTTAAATTGGCTTTTTAATAGTGCCATAATATCATCAAATGATTTCTCTTTTGGTTTGCTAGGTGCACATAGGTTTTTCAACACTTTGTAAATGTCTTCACTGAGTAATGTTAATAATACAGCAACTTTTCTTCCTTCTACTAAATTAGCCAATAAATATTGTTCTAACCTTTCTTCAAATATTTCAAAATCGTCACCACTTCTAAATGTTGCTAATGAAGATATATTCCCTGCATGTACAACTGTTATGGGCTGTGATTGTGATCCACATGGCTCCCCGGCCTGGATATCGTTTCCACTCTTTGGCATTTTTAGAAATGTTTACTCTAAAAATATGTACATAAACGAAATCCTTGAAATATACACAATCACTTTTCCATTTACCTCGTCGCCAAATTAGTGTGATGTGGAGGAAGAATATAAAGGATTAAACATGGTTTTATTTTACTTATATTTTTAACTAACAGTCGAACAGTGATTACAATTATAACCTTTTTTTTACATAGACAATTGACATGATATTTGTTATATCTTCTTCTTCTGTTCTCTATTACAATATACTACATTAACAAGAACAAAATCTATAACATTTGGCTCTTCATCAAGGGGCTTAAATTTTTAAGGATCAAATTTTTCTTGCTGGTCATTGTCAGTGTCTAAAAACTCCTCAGTATTGCTGGAAGCAGAAATTTCAAATACCTCGCTGCTCTCACTTGAAACATAGTGTTCTATGTCTGGCTGACTTTTTTTGCACTTCGAGAATAGAGCTTTGACATGTCTCTTTGTCCCACGATTTTTATAAAAACTGTGTTTTTCGAGTCTCTCTTCTATTTTAGCCTTTTCAGGGGTGTCAGTGATGATACTGCTTGAAATCTTGCAACATGCCTTCCTCGCAACTTCTCTTTCTCCTGCCTTTGGAAAACCTTTCAAAATGTGGGGACTTTTCGAGTTGATTGGCAGTTTATAGGACTTGGAATATATTGAGTGTTGATTTGCGGTTCATCAGCTTCCTCTTGAATAGCGCCAGACAAATGTGTGCAGCTAACAACAGGACCTGTGGACATTGATGATTCTTCTTCTTCATGAATAATTCTGAGTGGGTTGTTGTTAAGATCTCTGTCACTTACGTAGCTCAGGAAGTCATCTTCTGTGAAAATGTCACTATCATATGGGAAAATTCCACATTTTTTAAAACCAGATTTGATATTAGCGGATGTAAGCGCCTTTTCATGAGCAACTTCAGCATACTGTGCAACCTGGGAAATTGATAATGCTGTGCCTGGGTGGTGTAAAAGCCATGAATCAACAGCAGCATTGTAATGTGCCTTAAATGTCTGATAAACAGCCATATCAAGTGGTTGCAGTTTATTACTGCAGTGAGGAGGTAATGTAACAATAGTCACTCCATTTTCTTTGGCAAGGTTTAATGTTGGAACAGTCAAATTACTTTCATAGTTGCCAAATATAAGACACATAGGGTTTTCCTCTGTGGACCCACTGTGTTTTATAAAGTGTTCCATCACTTTAAGAAACGCCTCTCCACTCATCCAGTCATTGTTAGTGACCAATCCCAGAGTCCCTGGAGGAGCACCACTGACCATGTGCTCTTTGAAATTTTTTCTTTGGAAAACCATTGCCGGAGGTAAACTATTTCCAGAAGCGCTTACTATGCAGCATGTCGTAACGAGCACTCCTCTTTCCCCACTGGTACATTTGCTTACCTGTTTACTACCCTTAGGTACCAGTACTTTCTTTGGTTTATGAACACTTGTTGATGCAGTCTCATCTAAATTGTAGATGCGCATTCCATCAGAAAAACAGTCTGAACGGTCATACACAGACTTTGGGTTGTAGAAGAAAATACCAATGTTATGTTTGTTGAAAGATGTAGCCCTTGACCAACTACATGCTTCTGGTTGACGTATCCGCTACTGTGGATGGCGCTTTAAAAAACCCTGCATGCAGTCAATGCCTGCTTTTTTATTTGTAGTCCAGCTCTCAGGGACTGGACTTTGGGCCAGCTCACGAAAATCTTTTGTTGATTTGCCATAGCCCATCTTGGAACAAATAGTGATATAGTCCAATAAAGATAGTTCTTTATTATTGAAAATTTTTCTGCAACTGTAGTTAGGAGCCATACGAATATTTTGATCAGGATTGGCTTTCTGTTTGGCAACATACCTTTGCAAAGTTTGAAATTTTAGACCAAATTCTTCTGCAGCTTGACGGAAAGACAGACGTGTACCCCTAATTCCAACTAGAACTGCATCCACTGCCTGCTTCACGCTTTCAGTAGAAAACTGCCCCTTGTCGGATTTCCGCTTTCTTCCTCTCGACATTCTGCAACCTGGAAAAAAGAAATACAAAAATAAATATACTAAAATAAAAAAATAAAATTTTGTTATTTAAGAAAATATTAGTGAATTTAATTTTCAATTATTTTATTCAACGTCGCTCATTTCTGATAAATAAAATGATTTATTTTTAAAATTACTGTATTTAAAAAGCAACTTCGCAATGGGCCACAAAGAGACAAAAAATCTGTCTCGTTGTGGCCCAATTTATCTGTTTCATTGTGGCCCAATGCACAGTGTTTTACTCTTTTGTTTTTACTCTTTATACATAGAAATTAACACTGTAAATATCATGAAATTGAGCTATATAAACAGGTGTCACATGTTAGTTACAAAAAGTAACAGAATATCTGCTTACCTGGTTAATATTTTGTGATGAAATAGAGTGATGAAAAAACTTCTGGTGTCGAAAAACTACGAAGTTCAAACAATCTATACTACGTTCCACGTTTAGAAAATAACATTGCGGAGATAGGCCCATGTATTTCTTATGGACGATAGCAACGCGGCGTTGCCACGACACACACAAGCACAATTTAGGGTTGTATAATGTGTATTTTTGTTTCCACAAACATGAATTAAATTAATGTTTTTTAACGTAATTGACCAAAAGTGCCCATTCGAAACAAGAGATGAAAAGTAGGGAAAATAATTTTAATTAGATAAATAGTATTTACAAAAGATAATTTTATTTTATCTTATTTTAATTATAGTAACGACAGTTTATTTGTTTTTCGGTGAGAATACGATATGCCATGAATCATAGAAATCAGTAGAAAATATTGACCCTTGGAATGCGTATATCTAATTACTAATTGCAACTTAAAATAATACGATGTGCGTATGTCAGCTATTTTATGTCGTTCTCTGACTACATAATGATAATAAGGCTTTTATTTAGTAGTTATTCTGACTTTATAGTTAAGTGTTAATTAAAAATGAAAATTCAAAAATTAAGCAAAGGGAATATCTTGGACATCCGTGCAAAAGAGAGTGTCTGAGAGTTTTGGCAACACTGATCTCCATAAGCGTAATGTTATTTTCTTAACTTGAAACAAAGAATAGTAGACTGATATCAGCCATTTGCAATGTATAGTTATGGGTAAAGATGAAATTTATAGAATTGCTCATAGAGTGCAGCACCTGTCAAGCCCCACCTAAATTTAAATACTTTAACTGTCTCATAGTGGCCCACTCTACCCTATAAAATTGTAATATACATTTTTTTTTCAGGCTGTGTCCCAATTTTCAAGTGCTTTAGAATCGGGTCAGTTAGGTCCCATTGTGTCTCAATTAGCTGTCAATCCAGATGCAGTTGCAGCTGCAGCTCAAGGGAATATGGCTGATTTTGTCAAAGCTCTGGAGAAAACTTCAAACCAGGGCGAAGGAGCTGCTTCAGAAAACAAGGATAAGGATAAGTCTGAGAAAAAAGATGATAAAAAGAAAGATGATGAGGATCAAATGCAGTTGGACTAATTAGAAAATAAATATTTTTTAAGTTACAATGTACCACTAGTAGCTCTATATAAATATAATCTAGCTGACTTATTATCTTTTTGAGCCTTATTTCCTGTATAAATTATGATAATATAAAATTATACACTGGATAGGAAATCATTTGTTTATTGAAAGTTCTGCCACAAAGTTTGAATGTTCCTTTATTCCATTATTCTTTATTTGTTAAAGACTTATTGATTTTTTAATTCCGCTATTGTGTTATTTTTGGGAAATCGAGATCAGTCTGTTTAAATTGTTAACTAAAATTGATTGGTCGCTGGTTAATTGTGGTGGTAAATACCTAATGCCATACTGAAGAGTCCCAGGTCGTAAACCAGAGAAATCCCTGTGGACTTAAGGGATTGAAAATAGCAACCTGGAATGTCAGAAGTTTATACGCAAGTGATAAATTAGCGAATGTACTGCTTGAAATGGAAAACCTCCAAATTTATGTTTTAGGTATAAGTGACATACAGTGGCCAGGTTCAGGCAAACAAATTACAAATAACGGAACCATGTATTATTCAGGTAACAACGAGGTCAATCATCGCTATGGTGTTGCTATCTTAGTTGTAAAAAAGGTCAATTACTCTGTGAGAAGTTTTACTCCTTATTCTGATAGGATCTTATCAATATAACTTCAGTCTAAAAAATATATAGTAAATTTTATTCAAGTTTATCCTCCTCCGGCAGATAAAGATGACGACGATATCGAACTATTTTACCATGATTTGGAACAAGTCTTAAAATCAATGAAGAAACATCTCACTACAATAGTAATGGGCGACTTCAATGCCAAAGTTGGCCAGGGAAGAATGGATGGATATGTGGGGGAATATGGTCTAGGAAATAGAAATGAATGTGGTGACCGTTTGATACAATTTTGCCAGACGGATGAATTTGTAATAGCTAATACACTTTTTAAGCTACCGAAAAGAAGATTGTATACATGGAAATCTCCCGTTGATACAACGAATAGAATAATCCGAAATCAAATTGACTTTGACCTCATTAGACAAACATTTCGTAATTCTATACTGTCTGCCAAAACTTCTGGAGCAGACATCGGCTCATGCCATAACCCCATGGTAGTCACATTACGAACCAAATTGAAACTGGTTAAAAAACCCACACAAAGTAGAATTGATATTAAGAGATTAAGGGAACCACAAAGGAACAAATTGTAAAAATTCTTACTGAAAATCTACGGAATGCCCAAGAACTGAATAAAAGTAGTTATAACATTGATCAGAAGTGGAAAAATATAAAAGTAGCAATAATTAAAACAGCAAATGCAAGCCTAAAACCACAGAATAGAAAACATAAAGACTAGATGACTGAAGAAATACTACTATTAATGAATAAAAGAAAATCATTCAAAACAAAAAATTCAATTAAATATAATCGTTGATTGAATAACCCAAATAGATCCGCAACGCTTATGGAGAGAAACGTGCAACCCAAAAATTAAAATTTCATCAAGAATCAGCGACTCTAGTGGATATTACGGGAAACAACTAGTTACGAATTTGCGCTCATACGAGAATGATCGTAGAAAGAGGTGCCGTTACCTCCCCTATCGTGCCCTTCCACAACCAATTTATGGCAGTACTTACGAAGTGTAGCGAGTCAGAGAACTGGACATCACCCCAGCGTTATCTCTGATTTCTAAGAAATATGTCTGTGAAGCATTTAGCACTTCGCCAACGTTTGAATTTATTTTGTCGATATTATATTTTGTATACAGATACGATAAAGATCGACTGCAATGAAAATTATTTGATATGTAATTTAGAATGTTAATAATTATAAAATCAAGGGGTGCCCGATCTAATTTTGTTGTGACTATAATTAATTAATAATTTAATAATAACTTATTTTATAAAGAAAGTTTTGCGGACAGATATTATTTTAGATTCATTCAAAACAAAAAAGTGCTTTTTTAATTTTTGTTCTTAAGCTGATTGTTTTCAAGTTATAAACAATTTAAAACAAAAAATAACGAGAGATGATGATCTTCAAGGCTTAGAATCATTAAGTTTCACTTCATTTTTGAAATTATGAAGTAACTAAGTTCAAGCTCAACATTATTTTATCAGGTCTTGATAAGTATTTTGGATTTTCATTTTAAATCATTGTTTTTTAATTATTAATGTAGCCCAGCCCAGTCTTCCCACAAAGAACCTTCCTCATTAACAATTAAAAAATATTTGCAAAAATTCAAAACATGCATAATATGGCAACATTCTTATCGGGACTTGATACAAGAAATTTCGCAAGTTTGTACTTGATGATTACAAAATTAATATTTTTGCTTGTGTTTTGAGTCTTGAAAATCGAAATTTTTCGTTTTTTCTTTTTAGTTTTAAATTATTTAAAACTCGAAAACGATCAACTTCAGAGAAAAATTACAAAAGACCTTTTTTGTTTCGAATAATAAAAATAAAATAAAATAATATCTGCCCAAGCCGAATTTTTATTATACTTCGAATCTCACCTTGGTGGAGAAATTTTCGTTTATTAAAAATTAATGAATGAAAATACTTTACAAAAACATTGTATTTTTTTTTTCTGAAAACCCAAAAACTACAATCAACACTTTTACAGTTAAGACATACAGTAAAACCTCCCTTAAGCGAAACGTTTTTAACCGAATCATCGTTTGACCGAAACGATAATGAGAAATATTTATTTCTACGGATAAATTGCATTGTTTTTTATGTAAAGAGGTCGGACATACCGCTGACTCATGTACCAATAATTAACTTCTTTTTCTCAAACTGAACTACCCCATCTAGAGCCCTCTTCATCTGAAACCACTGATATAATTTCTGACGTAAGCACTCCTGTTCAATTAGACATAACTACCCCAAAGTGCACAGAAACCCCTACTGAAATAGATACTGAAACTATACACCCATCAGTTCCACCCACACAAGGACAAAAAAGAGCTATATCACCAGACAGCAATTCTGATATTCCTTCTCTTTTATCTTCAGCAAGTACACCCGAACCAGCGTCTAACCAAATGTTTCCTCCGTTATCCACAAAAACAAACACTGTCTCCAAACCTCACAAGAAAAAAACAAAAACTACAAAATCAGAGGAACATAATCAACAGCTCGTTCACTACAATCCGTAGCGGCCATTTATAAAAATAATCCATCTGGTCAAACGTTGACCGAGACACAGTGTATTGCTTTCCTAGAAAATACACATGGTAATCCTAGTCCACTTAATGAAGCTTTTGTTTTCACTTCAAATATTGAAGGACTCTTACACGACATAACAGTTCTCCATTCAGAAACTAAGGAAAGATCCCTTAAAAATCGACTTACGAGACTTCAAAAGAAAATCAAAAGACAGCTAAACTCGGATGACTCTGATAATATCAGCGTCTCATCTGAACTTCTAACCGATGATGAAACCAATACCCTCCTCTCCCAACAGCCAGAACAACCATCTCACTTGCCCCTTACCTCTTCAACTCAAGCTTCACCTTCAATTTAATCCAATGGAATTGCGATGGATTCTTTCCCCGTATTGAAAGAATCCAACAACTAGTGACAGAAAAACAACCTGATATCATATGTCTACAAGAAACAAACTCAAAAATATTTAAGCTTCCCACACTAAAAAAGTTACAACTACCCTCTTAAAGAAATCGAAATTCTAAATATTATCTATCAGCTTCCCGTTCCATATATTCTAGTAGGTGACTTCAATGCTCATAACTTTATGCTCTCCAACTGTAGCCTACTCAAAATACTTGAGATGTATAATTTAATCTGGTCATCTAATCAATTTCCCAAACAATGGCAAACCTCTATCGTAATACCCATTAAAAAGCCTAACCTAGATAGTTCCTTGGCAAACTCTTATAGGCCTATATCACTAACTTGTACGATGTGCAAAATATTTGAAAAAATGATTAATAAAAGACTTCTATGGTTCATTGAAAAACATAAGATATTTGCTAGTGGACAGTCAGGATTTCGTCGAAACCGTTCAACCCAAGACAACCTTGTAATCCTCCAAACTCATATATCAGAAGCATTAAACAAAAAACAAGAAAGTCGTAGCTGCCACATTTGATATTGAAGGTGCTTTTGATACTATAAGTAGGCAATATTTATTAAACAAACTTATCTTTCTTAATATTAATGATAATGTATTTAACTTTATACGAAATTTTCTATCTTCTAGATCGTTCAGAGTCTCTGTCAACGGTATTTTATCTTCTACTCATACTCAAACTGATGGCGTACCTCAGGGATCGGTACTAAGTCCTACACTTTTTAATCTAGCAATAAGTGATTTATGCTCTCATCTCATTTCCCCTATTAAACAAATCATGTATGCTGATGACCTAGTAATTTACTGTCATGGACAAAATTCTTTTACCACCTCGAAGCTTATTCAAACTGCTGTTGATACACTTTTTAAAAAAACTAGTGACATGGGGTTATCTTTATCCTATGTAAAATCTAAAATTATAAACTTTAGTAGACGTCCCGCTTCTCCATCTCCACTTATTTTGATTAACAATGTCCCTCTTCCTGTTGTTAAACAATGCAAAATTCTCGGAGTAACTTTTGACTCACGACTAACTTGGAAGCAACATATATTTGCAATAAAAGGAGAAACGTGCAAAAGACTTAACATAATAAAAACTCTATCACATCGTTATTGGGGATCTGACGAAAACTCACTTCTTAAAATATACAGATCACTAATACGTTCCAAGCTAGATTATGGTTGTCACATTGCGAAGCTAACGAACCTCCTCTTTGTATAAGACGAAAACAACCACTAATTTTAGTACAGACACTTAATGATATCTCTCTTACACATACCCTTCCTCTTTATCCCCCTATATCTCCTCCCTGGATCATCTCCACGCCCAAATTTAACACCTCGCTCACCAACTTCGATAAAAATAAACATCCGAAAGAGATCATTATAAATGCATTTAAAGACATTATAAATACAAATAGTTACGATCTAATATTATACACGGATGCCTCAAAAAATGACACAGGAGTAGGCTGCTCTGTTACAACCTCTCATTCACTAATTAAGTCATCACTTATACCATCCGTCAGCAGCGTTCATACTGG